GCAATCCTTTTAAGCCACCTAGTGGTGCTATTGTAAGTGGTAGAATAATTCCTTGATTAATGCGCTCGAATACCGCATTTCTTACGTTTACGGAATTTTTGCTCTAGACAGCGTTTTCTGTAGGCGTGTTTTTGCTTTGTTGCAGCATGATCCTAGCATGCAGCGCTGGTTCTCTGCTCGCGTAACTTATGCGGAATACCTCAAACCTTCTACCCGTGGGGTTCTTTTTACTTCCGTTCTTTGTGGCATATCAGTCCTTCTTTATTATGCTCTAGCTCGTCGTCGAGTAAGTTCGATGTTTTGTTTCCTTGGTGGCTCATTATATTTGCTGAATCCCATCGGCTTTTCCATTCTCCATCGTAGGATAGGCTGTTTGCCGAAATTGCCAATGGCAAGGTCGATTACAGGACCCGCGCCTTGACTTACAGTCCTAAATAACTTTCCCTTGTCGTAGTTTATAGTTGCTTCCCTCTATGTGCACAACTATAAGCATATAGATTTGTGGCTATTTTAGATCTGACTTTTCAAGCAATCAGTATCCATGTATAATTGCCAATCTTAATTCATTGTTCATCGAAAGATGCTCGCGCAACTACAGGCCCGAGTGCTATGCACCTCGGTCTTTATAAATTTGGTGTCTCGGTGTGTTTTGCTGCCTTTGGGATTGTTGCTTATTTTTTATTACTGATGAATCGGCGACGTTTGTCAGTTGTAAGTCTATACTTCGGTTTGTTTCACGGATAGCTTAATCTAGTCTTTTTTAAGTGTTTCTACGACCCCGAATATGACTCATTAGTAGGCTTGTTTGAAGTATGATCCGCCTCAGAAAGAAAGGTAAAGATCGCCATTCAGCGACTGTGGATTGCGCGTTGTAGCAACCCCTAGGTGTTTGCCATTTGAGTTCGCATGGGGGTGTCATTGGGACATTGGGTCCCTTTAAATTATGTGGCAGAGCAGAACGTACGGGGCTTAAGACAGTATTTATGTTAGACTTTGATGATTGAATCGCGGTAAGGTTGAACTCGAGAACACACTCTCATTCGTCAAGTAGAGGCGAAAGACGTTTTTATTATTGTCGAAGGCACTCAAAATTCACTTTTTTGCATGTAAGGCGCTTATCCATTTCAACGTTCTTACTAAGAGTCTTCGCTGTTAGAAGAAACCATCAAGGGAATGTTTTTTGGTCAGATGTGGTACATGGAGCCACTTTGCGTTGCTCTCTCACCAGAAAGAATCCTCTCCCATCGCTCGGTTCCCAAGGTTGTGCTCTTGAGTGGGTCTGCGGCAATGTATCCTGTTTGAAATCCACATCATAATTAGCAGTGGGGATTGGCATCTCTGGTTGGGGCGCCGTTACCGAAAATATAGCAGGCAGGGCAACTCTGGGTCCTCTTGCTCCAATAATCTCCCCTTTAGGAGGATTTAGTAGCCCACTACCTAAATGGCATTCATTGAGAATCGCATCCTGGGCCAGAGGATCAGGTAGATTCTGTGGACGCAAAATAGCACTTACAACTACCTCATAGTGTATATACACCGGCTGATGGCTCAGCACACAGGTCTTATCACACTGAGTGCATGGTGGTGCTGGCATCTTCTGTATAGCAGTCTGGTAGTCTAGCCCCTCTCCATGAAGTACGTAATCGTGGAAGATAGGATATTGATGGTACTCATCCACTGGCATTCGCGAACAACGGCCTGTCACATTCCTTAATTTGTGCCTAACGCAGCTATGATGGTCGTAGGGGTCTTCTTCGAAGGACCTCTCGTCTACAGGTGACTGAGGGGTTCTAATCGAGATGGGCGAAGAGCTTGTTAATATATTTTCCACAAGCCCTTGCAGTGTTGAAAATGCCGGTCTACTTCTGCCAACAAAGTATTGAAGAATTTTCTCATACCGCGCTGGTTGTTGAGCACCGTAAAATAAATTGGACTCAGTCGGCATTTTAAGGGTGAATGCTTCGGCTTCGATTGGGACACGTGGATGAATTCTGTGAAATTTATCGCAAAAGAGATGGGCGTATTGCGCTTCAACTGGCCAGGGATTAAGCCGACAGCGTATTAGCAGATTTTCCGTCCATGGCAGAATGGGCATCCCCGCTTCCTTATTCTCCGCGGTTATCTCCCGTTTACAAATCGAACTCTTCCAAACTTTGTTAGCAATTGTTGCTATCTTGATGTATTGGATAACCTCCACCGTTATCTGCTGTACGACCCTGCTAGAACAGTTGTCTATCTTCATATTTACATGGATTGGGTCACCTGGGACGTAGAAAATCTTGTCTAACTTGGCAGCTAGTGTAATCACTCCAATGTCGGAATCTTCCTCTCCTATCACGGCTAGACGGTAGTGGTTCACGACCTGTGGTGGTGGACGGTAATGCAGGCTACTGTTCATTGGAAAGAAGGTCAACTTTCGAATTCTTAGTTCAGCTACATCTTTTGCCTCTGGACAAAACGCGTTCGGACTCACCGCATACACTCGAACCAACCAATAAATTCCATCCTTTACACGTCTTTTACACCGTTGACGCCAGGGGTAAGAATCGGCGTGAAAGCAATCTTTGAGGGACTGTATCTTTAAGTCAATCTTCTTGATTTTTCGAGAAGTTTCAATTGGTTGGCGTGGGTGCCTAATCCGTGGAAGAACGACATCACATTTACAGCTGAGTTCTTCCAGATCGCTGTCATCGTTTTCTTCATGGAACCCATAAATTGCATCAAGATAGAGTTCCCTTCTGTTTTTTGGTACAGAATGTTTGCTATTAGATGGTTTATTAGACTTAAACATGATCGAATCGGGACCACTGTTGATATTGAAACGGAAAGGAAAGTTATAGGTTACATAAGGCAGGTCTGGGTGATCCGTACACTTAGTAGCTTCTGTAGGCGGGACAAAAGTGTGTTCCATACGGTTATTAAATGCCTTTCCGGGTAGAACACCTGAAGATGTGAGATTTTCGTGTTTTAGAGGCTTCGAGGCACATGGACCGCCTAATTTTTCATACAGCTGACGAAGTTCTGCACTGTATCGATGCAGATCTTTTGGTGGAGTTGCGAAACAATTTAATGAATCATTGTCACAGGGTGGGGGATTCACAACCACCCTTGTGGAGAAGATGACATTCTCATTTTCAATGTCAAATGCATCCAACTCAGTTTGATGTATACAATACCGCGCTTCGATCTCGGCATAGACTTTAGCTTGGTATTTGAGTACCCAAGGATTCACATGAGCGATACCTTCAACAATCCCGTTGTGCTCCGGACAAAATCCTGCTTCCCAGGCGGGTCCAGCCTCATTGCTGCACTCAGAAGGTTCTAGTAACTTTTCCGAGTGTTGACTCTTGTACTGGAGCTGGAACATTGACCAGTAGTCCCTGTGAAGGAGATAAAGGCCCACACTCTTACAAGGGGATAGCTTCCGCCACACAGGTTTAACAGTTCCATTACGATACAGTGGTAGCCGAGAGTCACCGGGGTCAATAGCCATGTTTCATGCTGCTGCCAAATGAAGCCATTCAAAGAGTTTGATCGATAAGTTAGAACCTCAAGGCGGCGAGTTGGGGATGAGTGAGGATTGCAAGATGGCTACAAGGCTAGTAATGAGGAACCTATGACAGACCAAGGTACTTTACTTTTTGCTTCTTATTTCGCCACTGTTAGTTTTTAACGTAAGATGGTAAGACTTCCAGAGAAACATGTCATTGCAGCTAAGAGACAACGCCTGTTCTCTAAAGCCATTGCTTTTCTCACCGTCAAAAGGACTTAACATCAATTCAGTCATTTCGAACCATGGGTCAATGGGCTATATCGCATCAGTAATGCTGGTGGCGAAAGTACTATGATTGACCATTTTTTGCATAAAAATTCCC